TTGCCTGAAACCTTACAATGAACTCCTGTGTACAGAAGGATATGGTTCTCTTCCACACATGCACATATGATGCAATTTTTGAATTACTGGGAACTACAATCAAGGGAATTTACGAAATATTTCAGTAGATCATCACAGCATCGCAGCAAAGTGTGCTTGCGTTTTAGTTAACATTCATGCACGGCAAAGTGTAACCAGTAATGAAGTCCATTGCTCTTATATTGGGAGGCTGGATTCCAAGGCTTCCAGTGATACAAAATGAATAACTAAAGCCGACCCCAGCTAGATTACTAGGATTTACCAGGATTCCAGTTCTCACAAAAAAGAATTAAGAAACATGTCATACTGCAATAGTGCCAGAATATACATATTCTCTATAACTGAATCATACCTGTTTGCATATGTGCAATGAGGTGTGCAAATAACAAATATATTTGGTTCCACAGAGTTAATAAAGCGGCAAAAAAAATATTTTGGGGGGCAGCGTAGGGTTTCTGTCTTTTGTTTCGCATCTGGTTTTATGTATTGCGTGACTTATCAGTCTTTAACTGTACTAAGTGTAGAAATACTAAAAATATTAAATCACTCAGTAATTAAGCAAATGTTGTGCAAATATGCAAAGAATATTCCTATAGTAGAATGGCATGAAACTTTTTCAGAAGTGATCTAGATCTGTTTGGGTTTACATTACTAACATGGCAAGAACGCGATGAAAATCTTTACTAATATACCATAGTATATACTGTAAATGGAGAGTAATGGCTTGTAATTTGTTGATTTACTGACACTTTTACAAAATGCCTCATTGCATGCTTTACTGGATCGAGTCAGGTCCCCGCGAAGTTCCCAGCTCAAGGATATGACAGAAGGATGCGTCTTACTTCAAGAACTGGCAAGTCACAATACAAGGCAGTCACAATTTAATTTCTTCCCATAAAATCATTAGTCACATATTAATTACACCACCATAAGATCATTATTTTCTGTAAAATCATGAAACTGAATATGAATAAGAGGTCTGTATCTTTTGCATCCATATGATGACAATATTTGGTGACAGTTTTCTAGATGAAGGTGTATTTGGAAATGAAATGTGTTGCTCAAAATGCTACAGTTGTTAATATTAATAGCTTGCATGAAAATTCTGGAAATTCATGGTGTAATTCCAGTAAACACTATAATATAGTACAGTAACGTAGCTATAAAGTTCATGCAAATGTCAGCTCATAATCGAAAACATCACACCACCATTCTTCAAGTACATAAATATACAGTACTATGGCAATATCTTAGGCAGTCAAAGGAAATTACGCTTTAATGGTATTACTGTCACATTGTGTTGTAATGATATCATGTTTGTCAAAGTGCGTTAGCCTACCCATTTAAAAAACCTCCCAGTATTTACAGTAATCATCCAGTATACCCACGTATTTGTTGACCCGACCACTAGCGTACAACATGAATCTACTTAATACTTTATCAAGTAAATTATAAAATTAAGTTGATAAATTAATTGAGAATTTCAAGGTGGTGAAATTTAACAAATAGTTAAATTTAACAAATAGTTAAATAAAATAAGGCTGGGCGCCTCCTAGAAGAATTTTTCTAGCCACCCAGCAAGATATCAATAACTTTTTCTGTAGAAGAGAAGAAATTCTGTTCAGTTTGTTTTAGCTGTGCTACTGTTCATTTGCATACGTTTTAATCAGATTGTGTTTTCTTCTAAGCAAATATAGACTTGCTATTTTTCTTTGTTGGCTTAAGACTTTTGCTCAGTACTTTATGTGTTCAACAGAGGACAATATTTAATTAAAAAAACAGTTCCATTCACATTATATTGAAATTACTATATTGGAAACATAAGAGATGGTACAGATGTCAATCACCACAGGCTTGTCATACTGTGTAGATTTATAGAACCCTGGGTGAGGGATACTATGAGTAGCTAATATAAAAATGCTAATGAAATGTGTGGTCGTACATGGACAACAATTCATAGAAACAAATTGTCTTGTTAGGTATCTTTGAGTTAGTCTGAAATTATGTTCAAAAGTCCCACTTTGAAGGTTATCGTTTTACATACTTTCTGGATATCACGCTGAACAAGTCTATGAATACGTTTCGACAAATTTAGCATAGTCTCTCATCCAGAGGCGTAGCTAGAAATTCTGGGCCCCTTGACAAAATGTCACCTTGGTCCGCCCCACCAGCATTCTGCTACAGCCTCATTTGCTCCAGTGATGACCTTACTCTCAGTTTCAGCGCTACACTTGACTGATTCGGCACGTTTGGATCGATCCATTCGTTAGTCGGGGAATGGTACGTTGCGCTCCTCGAACATTCATACATTGTTACGGCATTCTCCGTTGCTTGATATTCATGCTAATGGTTGTGCATTATTTCTAAGTCTAAATAGTTAAGACTTACATTATATAACTGTATATTTTTATGGATTCAAAGGTTGCTGTAAAGAGCCGGGCCCCCTAAATCTGCCAGGGTATCCATGTCCATAATGCACCCCTGCACACATCCCTGATACTCCAAGTCTCAGACGAGTGAAGCTTACACACGATTAAAGCAAGGATATGAGCGTATGTGACAGATATGTTTGTTCACGTTCTGTTTCTGCGTTGTGTTGAGAATAATGTGCCCCCCCCAGCCACCCTTGAGTTTCTCTGCTTTTATCGCTCTCTGAATTCAAAGGAATGAAAGGAAACTCAGACATGGAGCGAGTCAGACACATAGAGCTTCTCTGCCGCAGGACAGAAAGGGCAATGCATCTAGGTAATGAATCTATCCACGCCACTACCCTCAGACCCTCACCACTGCACCCCGGATCAGCAGAAGCCAGAAAAAAGATCCAAGCACATGGAGAAATTCAGAGGGACACTGTTAACCCTTTTACACATGAAAATGCCTGACTGCGCGTTTGCGGAGTGCTCAGTTAAAGATGAGAATCGTTTGGTTGGTGATGGGTCGGATTTGTATGTCGGGCACTTTGAGCGTTATAGTGTGAAGCCTCCATACCCTCTTTCGTCTCATTTTCACAATGGGCCTTATTATGGTTAATAAGATCATTCAAACCTGTTTTCCTGCTGCCTCACTCCCACACTTTTTGTCAGTCTCAATTTTCTGAACAGTGACGTTGTCATTGAAAGATTATTCGGTTGCGCTGGTTAATACCCCAAAATCCCCCGTACCCCATTTTCCATCCAGCGGCCGTCTTTGTGGTAGCGCTTGGCGCTGACAGTTGCTAATGCCTTTCCCCTTATCTCTCCTGCTCTGACACCCCTCCCCATCTTCACTACAGTGATGAGAGTGAAAAAGTGGTGGAAAAGGAAAGAAAAAAAGTCCAGAGACTGATCTGGTGCCTTCCCCCTCCCCTGGGTTCTGTCTCTCGTTCTCGTGTTCTGATGTTGATATGATGAAGAACCAGAAAACTATGTATCCTCCTCCACACTACTACTACCTTTGCTCGCCTACCTGCGTTCGTCCTGCTCCTCCTATGGGTGCTCCTCCTCACTCGCATGTGTTCTAGATCAGCGTTTCCCAACCCGGTCCTCGGGGACTTCCAGATAGTCCACGTTTTTGCAAAAATGTGGCCTGTCTGGAAGGGAGCTGGGAGGGAACGAAAAGGTGGACTGTCTGGGGTCCCCGAGGACCGGGTTGGGAAACACTGTTGGAGAGAAAGCTAGTGGAACGATTACCATCTTACCATCACATCTTGGTCCCATCCACTACCATCAATCCAACCAGTCAGGATTTAGAGAAAGAAGTTATAAGGGGGGGTGCAATAGTTCCAATATTAACAGATTAATATTAGAATTGAATTTAGAGATCAGTGGTCATTGTTGACACACCACAACAAAATGTGTTCTCTGCATTTAACCCATATGTGACATAGCAAGGGGCAGCTAATTCAGTGCCCAGGGAGCAGTGCTTGGGGGCGGTACCTTGCTCAGGGTACCTCAGTGGCGCCTTGCTGGTCGGGGATTCGTAGCAGCAATCTTTCAATCACAAGTTCGCTTCCCTAACCATTAAGCCACCACTGCCCACAAATTGCACTACAACTATTAATTTTGCCACATGGATGGATGAATGGATGGATGAATGGATGGATGAATGAACTACTCCTACAATGCCAGCGCGGACTGATTGACTTAAATCACTACTATGTATGTTAGAATTTGCTTGATAAGGATAATTGTAGAATGTTTTATCAACACAAAATATCTGGACAGCTTCAGTAAGGTCCAGGGTTATGGTTAGTGCTGATCTTTGTTCTGCTATTGTTTTTCCCAGTCATATTCAAATAAATATACTTCTTGGTGTATTGTTTTTACAAAAGTTATTCTTAATATGGACTGCAGTGCAATATTTATGAATTATTGTAAATGTTACTGAAATATTATGAAATGAATCTGATAAAGGAAGAAAAAACAGTAATGTGAAAATAAAGATGCCGCCATACTGTTAAAAGAGAGTCTTGGTTGAAGATTAGATGGCACAGTAGATTGAGGTTCCAGAGTTTGGAGGTTTTCCTGGTTGACTTTTGCACTGTTTTGCCAGTTCTGGGTCATGTTCCTGTCAGGTGACTAAATACGACCAGATATGGTAGCTCCAGTGAGCCTGGCACTCACACAGATAAGAGCCACTGTAAAAAAGGCCCACATGCCAGCAACAGAATATGCGTACTGCGTGCATTGTGGCAAACACGCGGGCTATACGATAAACATGCATTTATGAAAAACTGTGATACACATATAAAGATTTACTTAAAAACCTGTAGAAGTGACATAAACATCTTCACATACTGCAGACCACAGGCACTGTGAGTCATTCACCACTCGAGATTTTGGCTCTTGTAAACAATACATTGAGAAATACCACACCAAGAGAAATAAATGCACTCAGATGCACTCACGCTCTCACACACACACACACACACATCCGCACAAGCACACATGCGCGCTTGAGCACAGGTGCTCTCAGGGATATGTGTCATGTTAAATTTCATATCTGCTCTATATGTTGCTGTGTCTGACTGCCTGGCCCTGGACCAATGGGTTTTGGCTCCACTACTTTTGACATGGTAGAAGAGAAAGGAATGAAACAGACGAAACAATGGCAAACGGTAAGATGGAAGGGGAGAATATAGGAGAGAGAGAAGAGCCTCATACCAGGCAAAAAGCTCAGGTGCTACTTGGCGCTTGACTACAACAAAATGCTGCGGCTTGTTTTATGATACAAGATCATAAAGATATAACTTTTCAGATATACAAAGCAGCTTAATGGTAGCCAATGGAAAAGAAATTACTAGTGTGACAGCCCTGTGGTAATGTTGCCTTTATTACCGATAGAAACTTCGGTGTTGCGTAACATAAGGGTTTGCTATCCAGCAAAGTGAGCACGAGAAACTGGTCTGTCAATACCAGCCCACACTATAATTTTCAATGTGTGTTATTCACCAGGCTAGTCAGATTATTCTGCTGTATATGTTTAGTGAGTAAATAATTTCCTGGATAGTCTAGTTGGTTTTTCCTATGCATACTTTTACACCTGTTTCACACAAAACATCTCAATGGACGTTCATTTGGAGCGGTAGTTTTGAGTCGATGGTGAGACCTTTTGGTCTCAGTTGGGGCTGGTGCACCGGTAGGAGGAATCCCTCCTCAGCTTTCCCACCGTGTGGTTTTACCAACAGGTTTCCTGAAGCTGGGTTTGAGGCTCTGTGGTTGACAGTTCATACTTTCCTTCGCCTGTCTTTAAGTAATAGTGTCTCAGGGCTCAGGGGCCCAAGGTGCAGGAAACTGTGAGATGTGGCAGCGATCCACCTCGCCTTTTCACCTTTTCCCTTTCGATGTTACTTTGTAGTTAATTTGTAGTTGCTTAGTGGGTTCGTTTATTCATTTCTACTATTTTTACTTCTAATACTTTTAGTAAAATATTCATTTATCCAGCAGGATATATATTTTTGGGGCAGCGATTCATTATTCATCCTGTTCAAAATGTTCCACCACACATCTTGAACTAGTAAACATTCGTAATTCACGGGTTCAGTTAATGATTTATTATGCTGCCATACTAGATAGTGCTTTCTCAGTCTCCTAATTCACATTCAATAATTAAAAAAAAATTCATAGTGTATTAATGGGGATGGAGGAAGAAGGTAGCCTTACCAGTGTTTCCTCTGCTAGTCAAATTGCTATAGCAATAAGAGGCAAAGAAGAGAGGCAGGAGCAAAGGAGATCTGTCATAAATTGTTTGCCCCAGGATGTGGTCTCTGTTTGGGGGAGATGGGGGGGGATGGGAAGGTGAGATGATCTCTATGACAACTGAGAATTTATGTTTTGATCCCCCACACCTGTTGCCGAATAAAGTGTGTGTCACTTTGGGTGTTTGTCAACGCGCAATGGGGGAATAGGGGTGGGTCTGAGTGTCAGCGCATACACGTTTCAGAGAGGTCTAGAGGGACCAGTTGACTAGTTTGCTGTAGTTATATCATTAAGATGGATGAAAAATAAGGGAAATCAGAGAGGCTGCATCCTAGAAGATGGGAAATGGAGGGATGAGTAGAAGATGAAGACAAGAAAAAGATAGGTGAGAGATAGTGGAGGATGAGACAGACTGAGAGTAGCAAATAGGTGAAAAAAATGAAGGAACTGAAGACAAAAAGGTAAGAAGAGAACAAAAGGTAAAAAATGACTAATCATTGTGTTAAGGAAAATGGAGGCATGGGTGGCAACAAGCTATTACAACCTCAACCTCAAGAACTTATGAACTACGGTATTCAGTCATCCCTATTACCTCTCTGCGTGTGAGTCAGAATGTGCGCTGGCCTATTTACATGAGAAAGAGAAAGAAAAAGAGGAGTACATGAGATAAGGATAGAGTGAAACAATGTTCATTTGCAGGCGTTAGCATCACCTTCATGCAACGGAGTAGTTACTCAATACGAACCGAATGGAAGTCACAGCGTGTGTTTAAGCGTACGCATCATACTGAAAATATGTTTGTTTTGAGCTGGCTGGCTCTATTTTGCATTTTGTAATTCCTCTGTAGACTCTACTGAACGTAGTCGCTGCTCTAGAAAAACAAAAAAGACGCATTGGCAAAAAGGTCCAGGTGTTAAACAGGCAGAGTTGTTGGCAGACGCAGATCGCAGGGAACTGAGAGACACAACAGCAGGATACACTTAGCAAGAGTGATGTTTGGGGGGGTTTAGTGAATACTGGCACATATCGAAATACTTGGACAGTTTATTTATACAGTACAATTCATATGCAAGGCAATTCAAAGTGTTCTACAAAGGTAGAGGAATGCATTTAAATAAAATACATTAAAATCACATTTAAAACCCTGTAATAATAATAATAATAAGAAGAAGAAGATAAATGCCAAACAAACAAATATTTAACCAAAAAAAAGTCTGTAGTGACATTGTCTGACTAAACTAATTTAATTTATGGAAAAGCTGCAGCAACAAATATTAAACAAAATGGATTTCGCTGACTTGAGACAGATCAAAAAATACAGCTGGACCAGGCATGTAAAGAATCCATAATGCGTTACCATCACTTCCAGTGACTAATGTGCAGCCCATTGTCGGAGTAATAGATGACAAAGACTGGGTATTCTGTATGACAGACTGCTCGAATGAAATACTGGATAATTTTATTAGCCTAATATAATATACACATGGATTAAACTGCAGATAATAATGCTTGGTATATGTATGGTATATCATTTTAGCTGAGTTTCCGACAGCGCATAAACTTTTAGGTGTACAGCAGATAAATGATCTCACTCTGTGTCATATAAACCTGTGTAGCAAAAAAAACTGTAGCAATTTCAGTAAATTTAGTCAGAAGTGTGTGTGCAGCAGACACTGACAAGCGCAAGGAAACACAGGTGGAATCCTCACTTTTTAAAATGCAATTATTAATATTTTACCTCATGTCAATAGTAAAACTCGAGGCATTTCGGATTTGAAACATCAGACGAAGTTATATATTTTTAAATGAATTGGATTAATTTTATGGAAACCGGCCCACCATGTCTGATTTTCACAAGTTCGCAATAACTTTGTAGGGATCCCATGATGATTATATATTCTGTACAAATGCACAATGCCCACACATGAAAGTATCCAACAAACTTAAGAATACTACAAGGACAAGAACAGATCAAATAAAATTGAATTCAATGTGGCTTAAAGACAATATTCTGCAATATTCTGCAGAATGTAATTTCGTAACACAGTATTTTTGTTGAGTGCAGTGACAGTGTCCTAGAATGGGTAAAGCATCTTAATGAAATTTATTCTGAGTAGATTTTGTTTCATGAGATATTGTGTTGTGTTCTGTTATATGCTGAAAATGATAATAAGGTCTGTTTATGACTATAAATTTGAGTTAAAGTGAAGTAGGACTTTTATATACAAGAGTTGCCATTATCATTATCTTAAGTGTGTGTCATAGATTTTAAACATACAGTAGCAGTCAAAAGTTCCGACACGACAGGACGCCTACAAAGGAAAGTGATAGTGTCACATCACATGAGCACCAGACCTATAGACAGTAGGAATGGTTTTGGAGGAGTTTGACCTGAGAGTGAAGGAAAAGCGGCCAATGAGAGCTCAGCATTTGTGTAAAACCTTTGACTGGTATTGTATATTGTGTTTTATGGACAGAACACTGTACACTGTATTGGGGGCGGTACATGACTCAGCAGCTTTACACTCTGTGCTCATGATGTGAAGGTTGCTAGTTCACATCCTCTGGTCAGCAGAGTGACTTCACTGTCAGCCCCCAGAATCAGGTCCTGTTCTCCCAATTGTATGTCACTTTGAATAAACGCTTCTGCTAAACACATAAAATGTTAATGTGCTCTGGGGAAAAAATGTAGTAGGCTCACAGCCCTCTTTTGTAAATCTATAGTCACATAATCTGCCTACCCTGACCCATCTCACCTTTTCTGTTTCAGCACCATGACTGTCCTGCACGCTCTCCTCTCTCTCCACTAGAGGGCACTACCACGAGCAGTCCATTACTATGGGGGACCGCACTTTTCAGGCTCAGGATACTCCTTCGCATCAGGGACATTTCTATCCTCTGGCCAAGGGACAGAAATCTGCGCAGCATTTCTGCCATGACCCACTGGAGTCCCTGGGTCACCTGGAGAGTGTGGCAGAGGTCAGCGGTTGCCACGGCAAACTGAACAGCTGCGCGGCGAGGGGTGACGGCGAGTGCATGTCTGAGGACGGCGCCGGGCTCAGCCGCTGGATCAATCCGCCGCTCGGCCACGCGGATATGGGCGCCGTGGCTTTCGGGGACGGGCCGGATCAGGGCAAGCCGTTTCGTTCATCAGAAGACCCGTCCGAGTGGCGCTCCGCCTACCTGCACCACGGGACCTTTCAAGGGGCAGTCGGAGACTGTGAGCAGAAACTGGACTCGTTTTCGGAAGCATTCCCACGGCGAAATGCCTACTTGTTTCAAAACGGGGGCCGGGGGGTGATCTTCACCTCGGGCTGTGGAGCTGGGAAAGTGAGCAGCCCCCCAGGTGCTCCGGCCACCCCCACGCCCCCTACCACCCACCCCTCGCCCCTCGTCCTCTGCTCTCCTCCCACCTCTCTCTCGCTCCCCTCCCTCTCACCATCCAAGAATGCTCCTCAGTTCCCGACTGCGCAGACAACGCCGTCTGCGCAGCTGGATGTCACCTTCAGTTCCTCCTCATTCTCCGCGGGGCTGCAGCCTTACTACCTGTCGCATACGCACGCAGGCCACCTGCCTGGCACTGCCCTCGCTGGGAAGTGCCCTCCACTGCTCTGGCTGCAGCAGTCAGGTCACCCAGCTGGGCAGGCAGAACCTTTCCATCCACAGCACCAGGAGAAGGACTCCGACCCCTCTCTGATGTACCCGGGAGAGACACAGTTCCTGCAGAAACACTCTATACCGTCTCACCAGGACGAGTACAGCATCCCAGGTACTTGGCTCAGCCACTTCAGTGCTTAAATATGCACTCCATGGGCACTGCCAGGTTATGACCGGTTAGCTTTGCAAGTGAATGTTAAATCGGTTATGGCGGGTTGTCTTTTGTTCTAGTTAACCATCCATCTTCTAACCAATCCTGTTCAAGGGGGGGGGTGGACAAAGGAGTTGATCTGAGGCAGCCCATTGGCTCAGTCCCAAATGATATGAAACTACTGTCTTGGACTTCATTTTCGCGTTTATTGTTTGTAATAATTATGCCGTGGTAGGATAACATTATAACAGCGTCATTGTGCTACTATTAATGAAAGGACCCTTTATTGCTGAGGCCGGGGTTGAATAATCTGAGCAGAGCTTAGTGTGCAGGACACATGGTGCTGAGCAATGGCTGTTATTAGAAAGCACTCGGTTAACATTCTCATATGCAGCGGCAGCTGCTTTTCAAGCCCAATGCAAAAGTGCTATTTTTGCTGTAAGGCTGCTGGTTGAGCTTTGTACACCCACCTCTCTGCTTTTCTCTTACTCAGATCACTGTAACCTTCAGACGCCTCTCAGTTCTCCACCAGAGCAGTACCCACAATCCTGTGTGTCTTTCCTGCAAGATCCTAACCCAGCGCCCCCTGCTGATAACCCGGCAGCCTGGCACCTGGTCAGTACACTTTCTACGGCAGGACTCCGTGACCTTGCTTCTGCTAAATGACGCTCTTGGCTGAACACTTAGACAGTGACGCCTGAGTGAGCGGTTAATCGACTGAAAGTGGGTCAGTTCTGACTTCTTCCTTTAGAGCTTGCAGATATTCTGCGGTCCAGCTGAGCAGCGACCTACTGTAGGCATGTAAAGATATGTATATATGATTTATATTAATCCCTGAAAATGATCAATGGCCATTAAAATGAAGTGCCCAGTATTTCAATACATTAATGATTACTACGCTTAATTATTTGTAGCTTTTGCTGGAAGTTCAATACTGAGTAACTGAGTCATTAATGGTTAAATTGAAGGGAACAAACTGCACCTGTAACAATATGCTAATCATTTTACTTTGCTTATTGTGTTAGAATTTAACTTCCGTGTGTCTAGGGAATGATAGAAGGTCTGTGAGTGTGACTCCTATTGTGTAATGCATTCAATCTAAGATTCAGTCACGGCTAATTAGCTGACAACTTAGCTAAAACAAAATCAACATGCAGGGTGACTTGGAGTACCAGGGTTCAGACCACCCACCAAGGACGCTTTCTATTCCAGCTCATTTGAACAATTCCTGTTTATCTGCAGTCTACCCTTTGCCCCATTGTTCTTCATTTTGCTGTCCTCTGCTCCTCCCCATTATGCTATCCATCACCATCACAATCTTAATGTTTGTTTGTTGGATTTATGTTGTTTTATGTTGGGTTATTGTCTTTCAAAGTGTGTCAGCTTAGCAATTCAAACCCTCCCGTAAAGTCTCCCCAGTGTTTGCAGTAACCATCTAATACACTCAGGTATTTATTGACTCATACCGTACCATGTTTGGCTAATTGGTACCTAATTAGGTTATTTAACTAATGTTAATTAATTAATTCAGCTGGTGGTATAATTTAGCAAATACATGGAATGGTTGTGGAGAGGTTTGGGAATCAAAGCATTGATGTTCTATCCATCTAAGGAGACATCGATACATTTTTGTAGAACAGAATAAATTCCTATTACTTTTTTTTATTGTGTTACTCTTCATTTGTGTATATTCTAACATTAAACAGTTTTTTTTTCTAAGCAAATGTACACTAGGAGATAAATAGCTATTAATATGTTCTTTGATTGCCTTTTGACAAACTTTTGCCCTATACTATATACAAAATATACATATAAAATATGCTCCTTAAGGACCTTTTCCATCGCTGACAGGAGACAGCAGACAGAGGGGGGGGCCAGCCCTGTGCCCCCCTGTCCACAGCCCAGTGCTCAGTGCCGCTGCTGACCTCCCCACCAGCTGAAGGCATTAAAGTGGGGGAAGAAGCCAGGCCGTATGTGGAGTCTCAGTCCACTGCAGGCTGGTCTCAGTGCTCCCTGGACACTCAGGTACTCGTGCTCGTCATTCCCCTCCCGTCGCCTGGCTTGGGAGGCTGGCTGTGACAGTGCCTTGTGTCCCTGTCCCCTCTGTCCAACCAGAGCACGTCCCCTTGCATCTATACCGGATTCTCCTTCTCCAGCATCCTCCAGGTCGGAAGAACCCTGGAGATGGACTACGCTGGGGCACCCCCCCGCTACACCCCCAGCCCCATGCTGAATCCCCTCCGCAGGGGCTCGGGGCTCTACTGCAGCCTGCTTCCCTCCTTGCATCTCCGGCCGGGTGAGTTCCGCAAAGTCCCAGCTAGCTTGCTAGCCTGGAAGTCAGAGGGTGGGTGGTATAGTCTTCCTGGAATGACAGCCAGTAGGTTCAGTAGGAGCGACACGGTGTAATGTTGCTAGCGCTTAACCACAAATGTCACACTCTGGATGACAGGACACCAGGGAGGCTTCTGGTCTGCAAGGGAGGAAGACTCTCCACGGCTTCCGTAAGCATGTCTGCTTCTGTTGCTTCTTCTGCTGCATTGTAGCTGCTTTTCTATGCTGTCATCAGACACTATAAAACAGGCACACCATAATACCCTGAGGCCGTTGTCATCCTACACAAGCTCTGAAGTGATGGGACCTTTCCACACCAGGTCATGCACTGTGCCTTACACTCCTACCCCACCTCTTGTCGTTTCACCCTCATTTATATACCTACATGTTTCTTTGTTTGAATAATAGCAGCACATCTTATTCTGTCTCTCTGTATTTCTGTTCTAGTTATTGTTTTTTGTATCTGTGTTTTTATGTATTTTTTTTTGTCTGGAGCAATTAAAATTGTATACCACTGCCACCACCAACACAAATTCCTTGTACTTTTCTGTACATGGAAAATAAAAGGATTCTGATTCTGACCAAGTCTTGCAATATACATGTATGCAAAGCTTTAGGCCTGTTTGCAAAGATAACCGGCTTGTTAAACAGACTATGGTTCTTGACAGTCATGTTGTCTGATGCGTGGAACTCAAGAGACACACAAATGGAAACATGAATATAATTCACCCCTGTTACTGACAGTGCCGTGATGTGCTGGATACTCAATCGGGCTCTATTGCAAGCCCTTGTGGTCTTCAAATGAAATAACAAGTAATTGTCCACACAATTACGAACCAAGAGTTCATCAGAGCTTGTTCATTAACTATCCCATTATCCACGACAGACTTGTGCCTACAGCTTGACAATTTACTCTTGGCACTTAGACTAAGCACCTTGCGTCTCACCTGATATCTGAGTCATCATTCTTCGAGTTTAATTACCGGACTGGTGAGCAGCTCATTGCTCTTCCTGGAATCTGATGAGCCGCCGGAACCTGTCTGATTCTCCTTCAGGCATGTGAACGTGGGTCCGCAGTTCCAGGCAGAGCTGCCCCCGCTGCGGGACAGAGTTGACATTGACACCGGCCCTGCTGAAACGCCTGGAGAGACACTGCTCTGGAAACCCTGGGTAGAGCTGGAGGAGAGTGAAAACATGCAGGAACAAGGTAAAAGCTGCGCTGAATTGCAGTGGATTCATTTATCTGCCACTTTTATCCAAAAATCTTTACAGAAGAGGAAAAGGTCATAATGTATATGTGTTCCCTAGGACTTGAACCCACAACCTAATACATTGGGGTTAGTTTTTAATACTATTCTGGTAGTGTAATGAGGCAAGCACTTAGAAAATATGCAATGCTGGCATGTTTGAAAATGGTGCCTCATCTGTGTACAGTACAGCATGCGAACCTGTCTCACTGTATTACCCTCCTGTTTATCAGTGGAGATTTTTTTGGACCTGTGCAGTTCCAGTGCTGTGCCAGGAGGTGGCACTAACTTAGAGCTTGCCTTGCACTGCCTCTCCCAATGTCAGGGTAATACTATGGTAAGAAAACAATTTCCCGCTAACAGCTCTCTGTTCATTTGCTTAACGCTTACCAAGTCACTTGAGTATCCATTTATTTTAGCTTGCATCTTGTAGAATGCACTCAATGTATACTTTAATTATGTGTCTGTATTGCTTATTACCTCTATTTCCCATATTTATTTTAGCATATGTGCTTTTTTCAATAACCCAAGACTCCTTTAATTTTTTACTTATGAAATTGCAATTTTCTCTCACCGTTGTACTAATAATATCCAGGTACTTCTTGAGATATAGTTTCTCTCTCCCTGTCTCCCTGTTCTCTTTGTTTTTCATTTAGGCTGCTGTGGAGATGCTATTATTGTCTACCCCTTCACTGTCAGGAGACTACCATTACTGTGGTAAACACAGCCTATAGCCTTCTGTCATTCACCTCTTATTTCTCCATTAATCCTTTCAACCTTTCACTTGTACAATCTTGTAATGAGTGTTAGCTACGGAACAGTTACTAAAACCGCCATTGGGACTATCATGACTTGAAATTCTGTCCCTGTTCTTCTTGGATACTGTGTACTTTAGACAATACATCAGATTTAATTAAGAGTCAAGATCCAATTTTGATATTTTCCTGAAAATCAATGTTATTTGCGAGATAAGAAGTGAGGAACAAGGATTACAATGTTGTAAACTGATAATGGCTTAGCCTATCATCCAGGCCTAATACAGGGTACTATTTAAAGGCTGAATATCAGTGTTATGGCAGGGCAATGGGAAGAGTTAATGTTACTGAATAAGGTTTTTGAGTAATTTTTTTTTTAGTTTATTTAAAAGAACTAAATAAATAAAACATGATTGAACTGCTGGAACCTAAGAAAACTGCTTTGCTGTGCTCCTGTAATCCTGCTGTCCTCCATACCAGGTAGTGACGTCTGGATGCTGAGTGAGCGACGACTGTTTAATAAAGCATTCGCCATCTACAGTAAGGACTTCAACCTGATACATAATATGGTAATTTCCTTTTTCTTTAGACTTTATAAGCTAGGTTTGAAATGGTGGCATACACATCACTGCTTGCTCAACTTTTTTACTTTCTTTGCAGAACATAATTTATATTTGCATCATTATATTTAATTGCAAACATTATATTACTCAGACTCGGACGATCTTAAGAGCCAGTGACGTATACAACCTCATATAACGTTCAGCCATGTATGAACATGATGTGTCAGGTGAAGACCAAGCGTGTGTCCCAATGTGTGGAGTTCTACTACCTCTCCAAGAAGCTTCCGGAACAGCAGAAGAAACAGAGGGAGAGGGAGAGAGGGGCAGAGGGAGATATGAGCGGCACGGCGGACAGCGGTGTAAGTTTAAATAATCGGTTTCGCGTTCGTGGCTAATGCTAATGCCGTGTGTGGAATCACGTTTCTCAATGAGAATTTCAATGAGAACCGCCTCCATCTTCATGCAGAGCCTTGGATTCTGGTAGCTACAACCTGTCAGACTTGGCCTCACACAGCACAGCATGCTCAGCCATAAATCACTTCGAATTGCTTTGTAAACAGATTTACTGGCCAAGTAACTGGCTGCTCTTGTTTCATGAGACCATTTGTGTAAAGCATAAAGAATGTCGTTTGGCCCAGAGCTTGAAGGTCATGCTTTTGGACCATTAACAGGCATTACCGATCTCAGAGTCAATCCTCCGACCACCGGTGATGGATGGCACAGTCTCCAGCAATGCCCTGGCCACCAGCTTTCCCTGTAAACAGTGTGGAAAGTAAGTTTGATCATCTGCGTTTCGCTGTTTAGATGATGCTTACCGAAATCATCATACCAGCAATCTAAGTATCAGATAAAGAGAGAACAATATCAAACAATAAATAGTAATTGTGAGGGTATTGTAAACAGTAATGTGCAATAATGTAGTGTAAGCGTTAAATCAATCAGCTGATATGTGATGTGACGCAGCAGAGGATGTTATAGATAGCATAAGGTGATGTTTCTCTCTCCTCCCCCCAGAATGTTTTATAAAATAAAAAGCCGTAACGCCCACATGAAGATCCACAGGCAGCAGCAAGATGACTGGAGGGAGCGGGACCAGAACACGGTGTTCGCCCAGAACCTCACGCAGGCGCGGCTGGCTTTCCTGCAGAGCCCGAACAGCCACGTCGGCGGCATTAGCAGCCCCAACCTCAGCTCCTCTGGGGTCCCCCTCTTTGGCCCTCCACACCCAGTGTGGGACCCCTTTGATCTGACCTCCGATTCCAGCACCTTCTATTATGACTCAGAGGGGAAAGTGATGCTGGGTATGACAGGGGGGGCTAAGGGACAGATTCGCTGGGAATGACCACCCTTTGGTACAGACGCCCTAAGGGATGCATATCAATGCATGTTCATAACAGTATTTTCTCAGTTTAGGGCAGATTCTGTGGCTCAGCCGCTCCAGACTGCACAGTTAAAGAAGTAGTATATGAAATATGTGAGCTTTCAGAATCTATGAAATACCATAAATTATGTATTATCTGTGCTGTAGAAAAGGTAGGGAATAACAAATACAGCACAAATACTGCAAAGTGAACAGTGCCTGAAATAGCAATCTATCATTTGTAAGAACAATCCATCCTTCTCAGAAATTAATTACTATTATTTTAGTAGAGCAGCTTTAGACCCAAGGTAAAGGTAAAGATTTAGATGTCCAGAGTGGTCAACTCTCATTGAATTCTTATTATTATGTTCAGTATCTACATTATTTATTATAATGTTTGTAACGGATGGCTTTAAATAATTTTGGTATTTCCATTGTCGTTATGTTCTATTGACTGGCAGCTTTAAATGGCACAAGCCTTTTGTATATAGCAACATTTTTAAACATTTACTTTGTATTTTTTGTTAAAATGCCAACTGGTTGGTGGAAAAAAGAAACTTTTTAAGAAACTTTTGTTCGTTGTTACATAACTGTGATAAGAAAAACCATGTACAGTCTAGAATACTAGAGGTTGTATTTTACCTTAAACATGACATCCTGAGAACATGTATTTTCTTGATACCTGTAGAAAAAAAATATTTATTTTAAATTTTGATACATATTACGAAAAGAATTATTCATTAAATGTTCTATCCCAACAATTATGATATTTGTGTTGCCACTGAAAAATGTATGAGTAACACTGTACACGCACAATAGAGTACTACAATGAGATTAAAATGTATTCCAAATTTCTGCGTCAAGAATAATAGGCCACACGTCTCCGGTCCACCAATCATCTTCCGAGTAATAGCCACAGCATCTGCCGTAACAGCACTGGAGTGGATGAAGCGTTACTTGCAACAGTTTTGCAGAAACCGGAGAGCCAATGAACCAGGTGCCGGGACGCTCCCCACCAACCATCTCCCCTCCCCTCCTGAAATCCCTGCCCGGCGAGGCTCGCTCAGCCCCGGCCTTGACTGAAAGTCGTATTACCCTATTCGAGTCACAATCGTATGCAAACGTGGGCGGATCTCTCAGATCCAGGAACAGGGCGGTGCGGTTCAGCCGCAGACGAGCCGTCAGAATCTATAGGTGGGCGTTGCACCGTCATAATGTTTTTTAGGCTAGTAAGGTCGCGTGTTTCGCCGATGGTTAATGTGTTTAGTTTGGTCCCAAAGAAACGGCTCCCTTGCGATGAGAACGTTTCATGGAACTGGGGGGAAATATCTCAACAGTAGATCCACCTACACAAGATTTGTCCAATAAATAAACCAGTGGTACAGTGCATTTGCAGTCGTCACCTAAGCTAACGTGCACTAGCTGTCTACCTTTTATGTAAAGTCCACAGTCGTGTAGGAAGAAAACTGGTTATTTGTATGCTTTGCCTTAAAGTGCGGTTAATCATAATCCATTTTTAATATAACAATTTTATAGGGGAAAAAATGTTAGCTGTCCTATAATGGCTTTACCGCTTAGTACAAATTAGTATAGGCTGCGTTTTATTGGCAGATGCTGTGTTTACTGGGGAAAAAAAAATATATATATATATATATTGGCAAACTATTTTCGCAGCTGCTACAAAATAGCTGAATCGTGTTGGTTATTGGCAGACATCTAAAGGGTAGCGTGGCGCATCGTCCGTTAGAAAGCTAAAGGCAAAAAGGTAAGTCTCTATGCTTGGTGTAGGTTCGGACATACACGCAAATCATGGATGCCTTGCTGCGTTTAGTAACTTGAATAGATCTATGCCTTCTATCAGTAGCACTGGGATTTCGCGATGGAATATATTACTTATGCTTTGAAGTTTCCCAAACGGATGTTTTTATTTGTTTTATAACAGATCCCTACTTATTTGTTAAAAACAGCATTCACATGAAAATACCGAGTAAATTCTGAACAATTTCCAAAAGAGGTGTCATTTAATGTAAGCCAAACTGCACGATTGTTAAATCGCCTTAATTTTGTCACGCCGTTGCTTTACTGCTTCGCTAATTGTATTTTCATAAAGGAATAGGAGCAGAAAATCTTTAGGGCGAGAAACCCAATTGTTCAAAAAACCTCGGTAAAATGTTGTAAAGCGGACCACCTCACTGTGAACTTGCAAAGTAATATGAAGTTTTGTGCGCTCATTTTCTACGCGAACGTAAAGTTTTGTCGGGGCAGACAAAAATACGCTTAGAAGTCAACACTTGTATCAAGATAATTTGCATAAAGTATTGCAGTTTAATAGCATATGAATTTATAGAAACCAATTAATGTCTTGGATTGGTACTAATTTCCACACATCTAAGCTATTTAATAAAATGCGTACCCTGATGAAGGTCTCTTTATTTGGTGTCCAAAGCACGTAGACAGACCACTATTCGTTTATAATAATAATAATAATAATTATTATTATTATTATTAGTATTATTATTATTTATTAATAATAACAATAATAATCATACTTATTATTATTATTATTAGTATTATTATTGTTTACTTTTAATAGAAGGCTTGTTTCTTGGTTTTCACAATTTATATTTTACAATTCTGGGTTTAATTTAATTATATTACCCTTCTACAGTTAAATATATTCTTCATGTAACACTTTGTGGAGTGTACCTGCAGCCAGAAGAGAGTTCTTGTTAGTGGAAAAATATGAGTAAAAGAAAGATCAGGAAAATATTATATAGGCTTTTAATTGCAAAAAATACTTATCAATTCTTTGGTTGTACTTAACATAAGTTTAAAAAACAATGGCCAATTACGAACTGGGTGTACCGGAATAGTAAGCGATTATTCTGTATTACATCATGTTATTATTTTGCCATTTCATGTGATGAAAACTTTTCAAGCAGACAGCCTAACTGAGAAGCGCATTGGCCGTTAGATGAATTCTCTTTAAAAGGTTCACTCTTTAACCAGTTCCACCTTTGTGGTGTTTGTTTATAAATACTTAATTAAAATCCATTCAAATCATCTTCTACAATACCCATCAATCACACTACACTATAGTGTAGTGGCAATGTCCAACTAATATCAGAATTGCGAGCGTGTCATGTTCTCCTTGGTTAAAGAAAGCGATTAACCGAAAAAGACCACTGCCGCATGAGATACGGTAGAAGGGTTTTTTTTTTTTTTACAAAATAAGATTCTGTAGTCAGATAAAGTACTGAGGATTGATCAATCTCTGTGCCTAAGCCACTGCATTGGTCCTCCCACACTCGTCTCACACTGATTTCTGCCCTTTGTCTGGATACTTATTTAGCAGAGTTCAGCAGCGCAGCTTCTGCAGTGCAGCTCGATTTCTTACTACTCTCACGCGTTACTGGTTTGACCAGTTTGCTGTCGTGCCTGGTTATTGTAGCAGAGTAGGCTACTCCCTCGTCTGTATAGCACTGCTGTTTCTGCTGTGCCAGCCCCCCTGCTGATGAGAATCTGTGCTAACCTGCGTTAAGGGCCTAGGGCAGAGTTCTTCACGCCCACCGTGCCCCGGCACGCCGGGACGCCCTGTTCGTCCGTGAGCAGCCGTGCAGGGGACGTGCACTTCACTGTGTCCTGCTGGTTTTGCTTCAGCTCTGGCTTCCCTGTGGGGTGTGAGGCATCATTGTGTCTGCAGGCTTCAATGTCGAGATACTCCTGTAGCAGCTTACAGTATATAGTGGTGAATGCAAATTTATGAGCTGTTACAACAGCATCTACAGTAAGTCCCCTTTAAAATCAAAAAGTATGCGTTTATTTTATTATTATTTTTCTTGCTGTCCTGGCAAATGTTTACGGCAACCCTGTTAACCTCTCTTCACCTGTACTGATAAGCTTCTGCGTGGTCTGACCATGGGCGTCGCCACCATTAAATCATTTTACAATTATTCCTTTTATTCCACATTCAACATAAAATATTAGTTTTATGCTAGTGTGTCCCCCCCACATTCAAAATGCTTCTGACGCCCCTGGTTCTGACTGTCCAACTTCAGCATATTTTGTCCATTGGACACATCACATGTCTGAGTGTTTGCTCTCATTGTGCCTAAAAGCCTTCATCTTACATTAGGGATTGTTACTCTGTATTCCCCATCGACAGGGACAGTTTTTTAGGGTTAGGGCATTTTCATGGCTTTCAACTGCATAAACTTTCGCCTTGGCCCCTCCCCCTTCGCTTGTCTGTTGCAGCTCGCCTTTCTTTGTTTGAGTCCCGCGATGCCGATTAGCATTCCTGTGGTAGCCCTGCTGAGGAGGAGAGAGGACTGATTCACACGTGCGACAGGAAGAAAATACCTCTGAAATGGTGTTTTGGAATGCCGGGGGGCGGAGTGACTGAAATGAGAGAAACGAGAGACAGATGAAGGCATTTTATGGTGACAGGGAGTACTTGTCATGTGGGGTTAGTGTAGACCATACACTGAAAGTGTGTAGTCTTGCATCTGGCTCAGTTTAATTTGCTTGGTGCTAAGTTTGAAAGCAGCGTCATCAAAGTTAAAGTATGTCATCCAAATTAAGAGTGTGTGTGTGTGAGAGAGAGAGAGAGAGAGAGAGAGAGAGAGAGAGAGGGATGGAGGGGAAAACAGCAGAGAGCATACAAAAAACTCCAGTCTTTGCAAATTGGCCAGCAACAAAAGCACCGTCAAGCTGCGGTCAGTGAGACTGGAAGCAGTGCTTCCCATCTCGGTGTGCCAGATTAAGGCGATGCTGGCTGGGGCAGAGCAGGGCTGCAGCTGAACCCTGAAGTCCCCGAGTTAAATCGCGATAGGAGGCAGCACACGTGGGAGGCGGGCCTCGCTGGGATGAATCCGAGACTCTTTTGAGAGCTCCGTATTCATGGAGCTGTTTCTTTAAAGACCCTATTATTTGTAGTAATAATGAAAACTGGTTTTTCTCTATTAATAGAGTTTTGGCAACTTTGTTTTTTTACATAAAACATGTGTTGTATTTTGGCTTTTTTTCTTTCCTGATTATTGACACGTTACCAAAGAAATGAACAAGAAACCAGCAACCTTAACTTTGTGAGGCTGCATTCGTAAGTTGTTCTCAAACACTGGATGAGGAAATCATCAGTTTTTATGTGCCTTGTAACTTTTTTCAAGTCAGCAACTTATCCATCCATCCATCCATCCATCCATCATAAAAGGGTCACAGTCTCAAAGCAGAGCTCAGGGATACTCTGGACTGGATACCTGATAAATGGGATCCTTGATAAATATATATAAATACTATATTTATGTAAGTAGGCCTAATAATCTATGACCTAAAAATATGAAGAATTGTTGTTACATATGGTTCCTTGATTCTTAAAAATAAGGGACTATGAATGACATTTTACTGTATTTTATAAAGAATATACTGTAAATGAATCCCACTACATGTATGCTTTTAAATACAAACTTGGCTAATTATGTATGACTTACAGTACTACACATTATATATCTGGTAGTCTGATAATTAGTGAAGTAGCAAGTTGTTGTTTTTCTGTTGGTTTTACTGCTGAATTATTGCAGCAGAAGTTTCTCAATGTTTTTAGGAATTATGAAAAAAAGCAACTTGAGCTGAAAATGCTTGAACCTTGCTGGGTAGTATAATAGCGATCCATTGTGTTTTCAGTTTGGGAAAAAACACTGGTTATTTCCTGTTGTCACTTACTGAATGTCTTTTGGTACATTTAGTTTTTGTGCATGTCCACAAA